CTCACATCTTCATCTTAGCATCGACCGAACCACCAACTGGGGTGGGTCACATGAAGTGTGGCCTTTAAAGTCTGCAGAGATTCACGCCTCTCAAGATGGGCTTGTCCAATGAGGAAGTCCGGAATCTCAAGTGGGAGTTCTGCGTTTTTATGGCCCTTTGTTTCTAAGCATGGTATTTCGCATATGTAATTCGCTTGGGTGTTGATGCACAAATTAGTAAAGATTCTTAGGACATCAATATGTTGCATAGGTATCAGCATGTCATATGCACTCTCAGTTAGATCATCCGAAGATGAATTCATAGAGACCACACATGATATAGGTGAGGTTATATTAACTAGTGGTCTATGATAACATGCATAAAACAGCATACACTACAACAGACAATATACAAGAACAGTAATGGTATACACAATGACCTGAAGGATATGTGTATTCAATCAAAGAAAGGTTTTCCTATGAATTAATTAGAGAACAGTCCATTTCTCTGGGCATTATGTGTCTTTCTTATGAGGAAAATGAGGGAGTTTCTCTGCCCGCATTCCTTTAGGCAATAAAACCAGTGATATCAGCATTGGTTGCCATGGAACCAGAGGCCTGTTCTGCCTTTCTGAGGTGTTAGGTGCATTTCGGGGGAAGGGTCCATAGACCCTCGTAATTGGCCCTTTGGTTAGGTGAGGGGGCGTTAGATATTATTTGTTAAATATAACAAAAAGTTGTGTGTCTGATTGGTCCAAATGCTACAATATATATATATATATGTATATATGTGTATATATGCATGCATGCATTATTGTCACCATTGTGCATGTGTTTAATGTGGTGAATGTTCCATATATCTCAGGCTGAAAGGTGCCCTGCAGAGAGGTGACTGGTACAAGACCAAGGAGATTATGGATAAAGGAGTGGACTGGATCCTGAATGAGATTAAGGTCTCAGGTCTGCGTGGCAGAGGAGGTGCCGGATTCCCCACAGGGATGAAGTGGAGCTTCATGAACAAGCCCAGTGATGGCAGGTAGGTTTGCATCTCAGCAGTTAACGGCTTTCATAAGTCACATGACTCTGCAAAAGCAGATGTAAATGCTTGGCCAGTGGATCTACATTTAGCTCTTTTCATTAGGATCAAATCAGGTCATACAGAAGCATATGAATCTCTTTTTTTCACCCTCTCAGGCCTAAATATCTGGTGGTGAATGCTGACGAAGGAGAGCCCGGTACCTGCAAGGACAGAGAGATCATGCGTAATGATCCTCACAAGCTGATTGAGGGCTGTCTGGTGGCTGGCAGGGCCATGGGAGCACGTGCTGCCTACATCTACATCCGTGGGGAGTTCTACAATGAGTCGTCCAACCTGCAGGTGAAAAAGAAAGGATGTGATCCCTCACATAATAACACAATTCATGTTTTAAAGAGACAGAGTAAGAAACCTCAGTCCCAAAACCTAATGAGCTGCCAATAGAGGCAGCATTTTAAGGCATCATGGGCTGTTTCAAAATGCAAAATTAATCAATAGAATACTAATTAATCAATAAAAACAATATATCAATAAATAAAATAAATTATAATTTTGTCATATTACACTACCATTCAAAAGTTTGTTTTTGAAAGAATTACATACGTACAGTATATTAAGCAAGGATGCACTAAACTGGTCAAAAGTGACCGTAAAGACATTTACGATGTTACAAATGATTTCTATTTTAAATAAATGCTGTTCTTTTGAACTTTATTTCCATCACAGAATCCTGAAAGAAACATGTATTGTAGTTTCCACAGAAATATTGAGCAGCGCAACGGTTTTCAACATTGATAATAATAAAAAATTGAACTGAGTGCCAGATAAGCATATCACAACTTATCTCCAAAACTTTTGCATAGTAGAGTATATGTTAGTAATATTTCACTATATAGCCTATTAGAAATATGATAAATTATATAATATTGTAAATCTATTTATAAATATAATATTAATCGAAATATTTTAAATATGTTTAGTTATAAATATATTCATAAATCATGCATTTAATGATAATTTTTATTATCCAATTCTTGTATGTGGTATGTATTCATTTTGTTAGTGTTGTCAAACATTATTTGAATTGAATGGATGCTAAATCTTCACTGAAAGGGGTTCATTTCAGTAAAATGTGTTCAAATGTACTACATAGTAGTTGAGGAAGTAATGTATTGACCTCATGTGTTTATGTGGGCTTTCTCTCAGGTGGCCATTAACGAGGCCTATGCAGCCGGGCTGATTGGCAGGAACGCATGCGGCTCGGGTTATGACTTTGACGTGTTTGTGATGCGCGGTGCGGGAGCATACATCTGTGGAGAGGAGACGGCTCTGATTGAGTCCATCGAGGGAAAACAGGGAAAACCTCGTCTGAAACCCCCTTTCCCTGCTGATGTGGGTAAGTCAGAAACAAACAAACAGAAAATTACATTTTATTTTTACATTTATTTTTGATATTATATGATATTTATTTTATTTTCTATGAGTGACATGGTATAAGTTACATGTTTTTAATGTGTTAATATATGTATTTTTTACATTACATTTTGTATATGTGACACGTTGTAAATGTGACATGTTTTTAATGTGATTCATTGTATTTGACTTAAAGTGATAAATTTGACATGTTCTTGTTGCAGGTGTGTTTGGCTGTCCAACAACTGTTGCCAATGTTGAGACGGTAGCTGTGGCACCAACCATCTGCCGTCGTGGCGGCACATGGTTTCTGAGTTTTGGCCGAGAGAGAAACTCTGGCACGAAGCTCTTCAACATTTCAGGCCATGTCAACAACCCTTGCACAGTGGAGGAAGAGATGTCCGTTCCTCTGAAAGAGCTGATTGAAAGACATGCAGGTACACCTCATGCCATCCGTACACGGAAATCTTTATTCATGGTCTAATCATGTCCGATCTTGATGATTATTGAGACTTAATTGATATGATCTCTGTAGGTGGTGTCCGGGGTGGTTGGGATAATCTCCTGTGTGTTATTCCTGGTGGCTCTTCCACGCCACTAATCCCACGTCATGTGTGCGACACCGTTCTCATGGATTTTGATGCCCTCATTCAGGCTCAGACTGGCCTTGGCACAGCTGCACTTATTGTCATGGATAAATCAGTAAGTCGATTTGTCAAATAACTAGGGCTGTTGATTTAACGTGTTCAATTTGGTGCAATTAATTATGGAAAAAATAATGATTAACGCATTTAACACACCCCGCCCTGCCCAGACATGTACATCATCTTATATTGCATGCAGTTGCTGACGAACATGAGGTAGGAAGACGTAACTGCATGATGGAGCCTGAGAGAATGCAGTTATATGCCCCTAAAATTCAAGATATGAGGGCAAATATGCCCCAGTGTGGGTTTTTGTCTTATATTTATAATGTACAATATAGGTTAACAATATCACAGGAGCAAGAGTGCTGGTTTTTCCTGAATATCTGCATGATTACAAATATTGATTTTATACAACAGTTCAATAAAAAAAAGGTAATATTGTATTACATTTTAGTCATAATATTGTCAATATTTTCAAAAATAGTTCTGAACAAAGTCAAAGTAGAACTCTTGTGCCTTTCAGAGCAGCACACAGTGATGTTTCGTTATTGAGTGAATCCACATATTTGAACAAATCGATTGAGTCAATGATTTAATGACCAATTCATAAAGTCAGACACTTTATTTCTGAATGAATCAGCCATTTGAATGAATCGGTTGACTGAATGACTCTCTCATTAAGACTGACTGGATCTTTTAGTTTTTTATTTAAGGTATCAAAAATTTTTTATAAATAATATAAAATCAAGGGTACATTTTTTGAAATTGAGATTTATGCATCGCCGTCGGATGATGCATAAATCTCAATTTAAAAAAATGTACAAAAATGTACCCTTGATTCATTTAGACAACTTTAAAGGTGATTTTCTAAATATTTTGATTATCACCTTTAAAGTTGTCTAAATGAATCCTAATGATTTTTGGCATAAAAGAAAATTTTGTAATTTTGACCCATACAGTGTATTGTTGGCTATTGCTACAAATATACCTGTGCTACTTATGACTGGTTTTGTGTAATAAATTCTATGTTGAATCTAAATATTTCTACTTTATTGTAATGTCTATTCAATTGCTTTTCTCTTTTAACACAATAATGACTGTGGGTCACTTCTCAGCCCAAATTTATTTTCAATTAATTTGTGATTAATTTCAATAATTAAATAAAAAAAATGTAAACCATTGACATTCCTAAAATTAACACACTTGTGGTTTCTGTTGACATGGACCACTTTGAAACGCTATACTGCTCCCCATTTCTTCACTTCAAATTCCAATAAGCATTTTTTTACTATAGGGACATTTCTAAATTAGTGAAATACAATAGGCCAGATTCAATGTTTTTCAAAGTTCTGTGTGCTAATTTGATTGATTGGTCATTCCCCCTTCACAGACTGATGTTATTCGAGCTATTGCTCGCTTGATTGAATTCTACAAGCACGAGAGCTGTGGGCAGTGCACTCCTTGCAGAGAGGGTAAGAATTACTACAAATGTATGTGAATATACATTTGTCAGTATTTGCATGTACATTACAGTGAATATTTACCAGTCTGTCTTTTCTGAGCCTTTCAGGAGTGGACTGGATGAATAATATGATGTGGCGCTTTGTGAAAGGCGATGCACAGTCAGCAGAGATTGACATGATCTGGGAGATCAGCAAGCAGATTGAGGGCCACACCATCTGCGCATTGGGAGACGGAGCCGCATGGCCAGTTCAGGTAAAGGCAGTATTTTATTGTATTATTTTATTTTTAGAATAAGTAGATCATTTGATTTATATAGACAAATTATTTTAGAATATATGATTATTAATCTAAACACTAAAAATGTTTTAACTGAAACTTGCATTTCTATTTCTTTGTTCTCAGGGACTGATCCGTCACTTCCGCCCTTTAATGGAGAGCAGAATCGCAGACTTCAAACAGAAACAGCAGGCGCGTGCTTGAAAGCTTCATATCTGCGTCCTTTCTGGCTCATCCTGTCACTTATAGTTATTTAAGCAAAACCGACATGATCTCTCGCTCACTGATATGTGAACGGCTGGCATCCTCCTTTTGTTTCTCTTACATTATATCAGGGACATTAAATATTAGTCACCAAATTCTTTGAACCTTAAAATAACCATGGTGATAGATTCAAAATCTTACTTCTGAGTGAGGATGACGCATTAAAAAAAAGAGTGAAAACTGTTTGAGCAGATGCATCACTCATTTACAGTAACTTGTAGTGAGTAATGGTTATGGTTGATGTAATTATGTTAAATCCCATTACGATGTTAATGCCGTTTTTCTTGATAAGAAAATCTTACACTGTATAAACACTTATTTGTGGAAATAAAGAGCCTAAAACTTGAAACAGTGTTTGTTAGTCTGGGGTGAGAGGAGAATGTGTTGTGTTTGATCATGAACTGTGTGAATTGGGAGAAATGGGAGAAGGCAATGTAGAGATCTGTTTTAGAACCATTATGTTTAGTCCTGTTATGATATTAATAGCATTATTCTTTAAATGAAATCTTTCTGTATATATAGTGCTCACACACTTTTTGACCAATGAATTTAGATGTCTTTTCCAATAGTTCTTAATTAATTTTAAAACCAATTTATTGAGATTCCTGCAGAGGACTTCCATTCCAGGCCTTGAAATATTAGATTCAAACAATTATTCTGGTGTTCAAGAGTCTCCAAAAATATGTTCTTGTAGCATTCATGCAGAGCAAAATCAGAAAACATTACATGTCTGAACATAAATAGATTGACCAATTGTTCCCGTGGCTCAGTGGTAGAGCATTGCGTTAGCAGCGCAAGGGTCGTGGGTTTAATTCCCAGGAAACACACATACAGATATAAAATGTATAGCCTGAATGCACTGTACGTTGCTTTGGATAAAAGCATCTGCTAAATGCATGAGTTTAAGTTTATCTGACTTTCTAAGCCTGAAAATAAGAGGTTCGTTTTTTGTTTTTTTTTGGAAGTCGATTACTTTAAGTAGAAATGAGCCAATCACAAGATTGCCATACCAAAAATCAGC